AAATTTCCAAAATTTAAATATCTGTTTATTTGATCGCCAGTTTTTTGAAACGCAAAGTACGTGGAGGTAATATTATGGTCACTTTAAGCATTGCCGCCCTATAAAACCAAAACTAGCAGGAGGACAAAGACACAAACAAAATGGTATAGTATAACTAATATATTGAGAAAAAAATATCAAAGAAGCTATGGCAATAATTAGGAACACTTCGAAAAATTAACTTAAAAATATTAAATACACTACGCAATACTAAAATCGACTAAAATATTTACTATAAAGTCAACTGTCAAAATGTCGTCAATGAAGCAGCGCCCTTTTGTCCCTTTATTATTTGGTTGACTGGTGAAGAGCAATCGTATAACAGAGCTATCCATGCAAACTAGGCTGTAGTTTTTGAGTTATAAAAAAGTGACCAATATGGTTACTTTTTTATAACTCAAAAACTAATTATAAAAAAGTGACCATATTTACCCTCACGTACTATATAGTAGTTGTTGGGTCTGTTTGATATTTTAATACGTACTTTCATTCCACAAAAATTGTTGAATTTTAAAATTATTATCTGACGTACCTATTCCATTACTGCCACAGCACTTCCTCTATTTGCGTGGAGAATTGTGAGCTCTGTTCAATTGTGTAAGTTGTTTAGTGCTGAGACAGCATGCATATTAACCACAAGTTCGAGCCGTCGACTAGCGTACCCTTAAATTCGCTTTTGGGGAGAATAAGTTACGGCGCTGAACATTGAGTAACATAGATGAAATGTCTTGACGTATGGCTTTCAAATTTTCCAAATGTTTCTTTACGATGTGATATGAATGTTTCTCTAAAGAATTGAGATCTAAAAGAGTGCCAAGCCCCATACAACTTCTGAGAACTTTTTACTCCTTTTTTTGTTTTTGTCGTTTGTAAAACCTCCCTTGCGAAACACCTAATTGTATGAATTGCTTCATAATTTTTATTAATTTATACTATTTTCTACTAATATTTTAATGTCATATGTTTAATCATTACCTATAAAAATAGTAATTAGCCGATTCTACTATAACGTATCAGTACATACGCATAAGTCAACAAAAAAATAACATTTATTAAAGATTCAGATTCCAGATAAGTATTGTCATTTTTAGTAAATTAATTTGTAATGCAAAAATTATTTTGTAGCTCAAACTGCTTGTTCAACATTTAAAGCAATGTTAGAAGAATGAAACGATTCTTAATACTACTATATACTACATAATAATCTGTTAATTACGCTATAATAATTCAAAGCTTATAAAATAAATCAATATCCCTAAAATTGTTTTGGTGCGTTAAATCTGACACTAGCGCCATCTTTAAACTGATTAAATATGTTTCTTTGTGGTTCAAGCTTTACCCGTTAGATGTCGTTTTCACACAGGCGTCGCCTTTGTTAACACGTCAAACGATCATGATATATTTCGCTAGATGGCAGTAAAGCTTTAACGAAATATAAAATATTTATGCTTTCGTTTTAATTAAATTACACTGAAATATTTTGAATCAGGCATTACAGTCCTTAATATTTTATCTTACTCTAAATAACCAATAATATAATATATTATGACAGATATCAATAAATTATTAAAATTAAAATATGATATAAAATAAAAGAAGTAAGTACACTTATGTGTATCTAATTAACAAAGTTATACAGATACACCTAATTTACAAGCTTAACTTAAATAAAAATTACTGGCTAAATCACCGCCCTCTACGTGCAGCGTGACCAGAAGACTGTCTAAGATGTTTGGTTGTATCGCGAGGCTGATTTTCTGACCAAAGAGTTATTTAAAAAAAAACAATCCCACCTGATGATAAGTGATGATGTAGCCTAAAATGGTGAAGCGCACATACTTAACAAAAGCCTATTCATTCTTGCCTTGAAGACACTAATCGGATGGAAAGACAGATGCTGGCAACTTATTCCACTCCTTTGCTGTCCACATGATGAACGATGTAGCAATCCGTTTGGTTCAAATGTATGGCAAGTCAACAAAGAAAGGGTGGAGACTGGCCGAACGTCTGGTTGTTTGATGGTGGAAGGGGAAGGGAGGAATTAAATTACGCAATTCCTGTGCACACTCTCCGAAATGCATCCTATAGATAACCGAAAGGCGGGCTACTTTGCACCTGTGTTCGAGGCTGGTAAGATTGGGTTTAAGCAAATTCGGATCACCAATAAGCCTCTTGGCACGCCTTTCCATTCAGTCCAAAGCTGCTAGGTGGCATTTTGCAGCACCATCCCATATGTGGTAGCAATACTCTGTGCACGATAGGACTTGCGCTTTATATAAAGTAAGCAGCTATCTCGGCGTGAAGTATTGCCGCACCTTTGCAAGAACTCATTGCTTCCTTGCACCTGCTTTGGCCTTGAACTCAATGAACCGAAGTTCAGATTTTAGGATATCTCAACAACTGAAACCAACTGAAGGCGGTCAGTGTATTCCAGTGATAAATTTCGGAAAGAAGGAGCCAATACCAATTTATGCAGTGAAGAGACACGCTTGTGTTTTCGAGGCGTTGAATTTTACAAGATTGGCATCGCCCCATTCGGAGACTGCCTGTAGTGTTAGATTCACACGCTCTACCATAGCTTCCCTTTCGGACTGGATTTGATCTCTACTGGCCCGAGGACTTTGTTGGTATCTCTTCACAACTGTGCTATCGTCTGCATACCCATAGATACCGAGAGGGCATAAGCAGATCATTAATATGCAACAGGAAGAGAGTTGCGGAGAGAACGAACCCCTGAGCAACACCGGCTTTAGTCATCACCGGATCGGATGAGCAGCCATCGACGACGACCCGGAGAGACCGTTCACAAAGACCTTTACCCAGTCTATCAGGCCAGGGGATAGGCCGTATGCTGGAACGTTACCCAAAACTATTACTAAACAAATTCTTTCAAAGGCCTTCGAGACATCAAGGAAAACAGCAAGTGCTTCTGCACTGCTCTCGAGTGTCTCGCCCCCATACTTGTGTAGTATACGCTAGAAGGTCCCCAGCTGACCGATTTTTCCATAATCTAGCAGAGTATGGAGGTAAGGCGCGGCGAGATATCGGTGTATAAAACGTTGCGCGTTGGTCCTCCCGGCCCGTGGCACCAAGCACCAAATGGCACAAACACAAATCCTTATAGAAATATAAATAAAATTTTTTTTTTCAATTAAGATTACAAATACCATGTAGGGGAGAAGTGGCATGAAGGAGCCAGGTTTTGAAAGAGCCACTTACATTATTTTGGTAGTTTATGAACGGATTTGGTTGGTAATTTTATTTTTAAGTAGCAACACTGATTCACTGTCACCCACAAACATTTGACAGTCCGCCGAAATCAACGGACGACGGTACATCGAGTCAAAGTTTTTGGTACTAGAAAGTAAGTATTTTGCTTCATTTAACTTGTTTTTTGGTAGTTTATTGTGAATAAATATAGGTAAATGGACTGTAGATTGAGTTTGTTCATATACTTGGCCTTAAATAAATAAAATAAAAATAAAAAATAAAAAAGCCTTTATTCCCACTTTTAACAAATTTAACTGTGTGTGTGTGTGTGTGTGTGTGTGTGTGTGCGCGTGCGTGTGTGTGTGTGTGTGTGCGTGCGTGTGTGTGTGTGTGTGTGTGTGTGTGTGTGTGTGTGTGCGCGTGTGTGTTTGCGCGTGTATGTGTGTGTTTTGTGTGAATATGCTAGTATTTGCGTGTTGGTTCAATATGTGGTTACCATCTTCTATTCAGGGATCATCCATTGTTGGATGAAGGCCTCCTCCATCTCGTGCCATTTGTCTCTTTCTTTTGCAGTACGTGTCCACAGGTTTCCCGCTACTGCCTCTATATCATCCTTCCATCTTCTAAGAGGTCGACCACGGTCTCTCTTACCATCACGAGGCAACCAATGTAGGATGCGCTCGCTCCACCTACCGTCACTGGATCTTATGACATGTCCCGCCCATTTCCATTTAAGCCTCGCTATTGTCGTTAGGGCATCTGTAATTTTTGTTCTCCTTCTAATTTTGCTGCCATTGATTCGATCTTGTAGTTTGATTTTTAACATACTTCTTTCTGTAGCTCTTTGAAATGATCTTATTTTTCTTTTTATTTCTGCATTGCAGACCCAAGTTTGACATCCGTAAGTAAGAGTTGGTAGAACGTTTGAGTCCATAATTTTCTTTTTTATTTGTAATGGGAAGTTTCCTTTGAATATTTCTTTTAAGGACCAGTACTTTTTCCATGCCAATGCTATTCTTCTTTCTACTTCTTTTGTTGTCCTGTTCACGAAACAGATATTTTGACCTAAATATATATATTCATCCACATATTCGATGGTTTTGTTTTCTAGAAGGACTGGTATTTTTTCCCCATTAGTCATGATTTTTGTTTTATCTAGATTAATTATCAAGCCACATTTAGAACTTTCGGCATTTAGATCATAAATCATTTTTTGTAACTGTTCTTGACTTTCAGAGATGATTACAATATCGTCCGCAAAACGAAGGTTTGATAGGTACTCTCCGTTTATATTTATACCTTCTTTGCTCCACTTCAGTTTTCTGAAAATGTGCTCAAGTACAGCTATAAACAGTTTTGGTGAGATTGTGTCTCCTTGGCGGACACCTTTCTGTATGGAAAATTCTTCTCCTGGCTTTTCTAATTTCACTTTCGCTTTGCAGTTAGTATATATATTTTCTAGCAATTCTATGTATATTGTTTGAATTCCTTGCTCGACCTCGATACTTGGCCTTGCAGCTGCGTAAAAACTGAGCCGCAAAAGTTTCGATATTGTTGTTATTTCAAAGGTTATATATTTTTAAAGAATAAGTTATGAAAGAGCCGGGTGAATGGGCCTTAAAAGAGCTGGCTCTTTCATAACCGGCTCTTTCATAACCCTGCGTTTAAATTTTGTAAATAAAATAAAATAATAGTAAATATGCATTTTTTTAAAAAAATACTATTAAATTACTTGCTTCAGATATTGCATTATGGAGAAGCCTGGTCCAAAAAAACGAAAAAGACCAGAAAAGTCGGTAATTGAAGAAGCAGTCAGTGAAGTTTTGGAGAAAGGTCAGTCCATAAACAAAACTGCACTTATCTTTAATATATTGAGGGCATATTTAGCTAAAATAGTTAAAAAAGTAAAGGCTTCTGGTGAAACAGTTTATAAACACTGTCCTAATATAGGAAATAAGCGTATTTTCACAACAGACCAGGAGAATATGCTTGCGGATTATTTAAAGATTGCTTCTAAAATGTGCTATGGCCTAACAAGGCAACAAACTAAGAAGTTGGCATTTGATTATGCCATGGCCAATGACATCACTCCAGATAAATGGAAGGAAATTAAAATTGCGAGTGATGATTGGTTAAAAGGGTTTATGGGCAGACACAAAGATTTAACTGTGAGAAAACCTGAAAGCACTTCTCTATCCCGTGCGACAAGTTTTAATAAAACGAATGTAAACTCATTTTTTGAGAAGCTAAGCACTGTTTTGCGCAAATACAATTTTCCTCCCCATATGATTTTTAACGCCGATGAAACAGGCTGCAGCACCGTCACCAATCCTCCTAAAGTCATAGCTGAAAGAGGTTCGAAACAAATTGGGCAAGTTACCTCAGCTGAACGAGGAAGGAACATTAGTAACAACTCTGTTCTTTATTAATGCTGCTGGTGGTTTTTTACCGCCTGTTTTTGTATTTCCTAGAGTAAACTATAAAGATCATATGTTAAATAATGGTCCGCCTGGAGCTCTAGGGTTGGCTCAAGCTTCTGGATGGATGACTGAGGATTGTTTTGTTAAAGCACTTAAACACTTTGTGATGCATATTAGGCCATCAAAGGCGAATCCAGCATTAGTATTAATGGATAATCACAGCTCTCATGTGAATCTCAGAGTGGTTGAATTTGCCAGACAAAATTCAATCATTATAGTTACATTCCCACCGCACTGTAGTCATAAACTGCAACCACTCGATGTCACAGTATACGGGCCTTTCAAAACTAGATACCGCATTGCCATGAATGAATGGATGTTGTCAAACCCCGGTAAAACGGTGACTATTTATCAAGTTGGGCAATTTGTAAAAGAAGCATATTTGGCAGGTTTCACTCCTCATAATATAACACAAGGATTTTTGAAAACAGGAATTTACCCCTTAAACTCTAATATATTTAATGAAGAAGAATTTTTATCTTCATACGTCACTGATAGACCCGATCCATCACAGTCTAACGGTGGTAATGAGTTGAACTTGGACAAGAAAAATATTGAAAGTAACTTGAGATCAACACCTCCGCCTTCTACAAACACACTTGATGCTCGCGAAGAAAATGAGGTTGTAACAGACCAGATTATCAGACCATCTCCCTATTTAATATCTAACCCTATGGTTGCGATTCCGAGTACTTCTAGGCAACAAATTATATCACCGGAAATGATAAGACCATTTTCTAAAGCAGGGCCAAGACAAAATACGACACGCAATAATAGAAGAATGTCGTCTGCCATCGTGACTGACACTCCCGAAAAGAAAATATTAGAAGAGAAAGAGGTTAATGCGAAAAAAACAAAAATTATTTTTAAGAAAATGACCACAAAACAGTCTAAAAACCCTTAATAGAAAATCAAGAAAAAATCATGAAAATTCCGTACTACCAGATGACTCTGATTCGTCTGACTCCAAAACAAATAAAAACAGTGATGATTGCGTAGTTTGCAGCAAATCATATGAAAACAGTGATCAAGATTGGTTTCAGTGCAAAATTTGTTCTGACTGGGCTCATGAATCCTGTGGCATTAAGGGAAAATTTAATTTCTTTTGCAAGACATGTTTTTAATTTTAAGCTAATTACATTTTATATTCCAAATTCCTAAAAAGTCTGAATCCTAAAATTTAAGCAGATAGAGATTAAGAGAGTGAAGACTGAAGCCCAAAGTGAGCAATATTTTTTTTGAAGTTCTTAAAGATTTAACGATGTTGGTTTTGATAGATGATATTTGTTATTTTATTTAATTTTCAAGATTGTTATTAATAAAAAATAATCCGCCTCTAATAAGTTAAGATTATATATATAATAGGTACGACTGAATAATTTGTTAAGATTTAACGTTGTAACAATTATTTAAAATGACTGATAGAATTAAAAATTTCCTAAAAAATGTCATTAGTTTTTAAAAATGATTTGTTAGTTGTCTTTTTATTTTTTTTTTAATAGTGGCGTTATTATTATTTTGTATAATATTCACAATTACACTTTATAATACAGACTGGCTCTTTCATAACTTTTAGTAGCTCTTTCAATACCGAAATGTTATGAAAGAGCCGAAAAACATTTTTTTTTTAAATGAATATTTCTTAAATTTTTCCATATCGTTTAAGGTTTTTTCGTATGTAATTACCTACTTTAATAAATAAATAATAATTGAAGAAGAAAAAATCATTATTTCTTTCATTAAAAGTATGTTTTTTTGCTCCGTTTAGTAAACTGGCTCTTTCATGCCACTTCTCCCCTACTTATTGAAAGTTACTCTTATGTTTAATTTATCACTAGTTCGCAAAGTACCTCTGTCCTGGGAGGAACCAGCAGGGTACCCAGTGGGATTTTTATTTTGAAGAAATGTACAGTTTACTATCAGCAGTTCATTTGGGCCGCTTATAAGACTCCACATCAATAACGATCGTGCTTGCTTTGGATGTAGCCCCGGAATATTGTACGACGCTGATGTGTTAACACAAGTCGCAATCCAAACAAAGGAATGTTTTCAAAGAAATGGGCGTCATAACATCAGGCCTTGTTCAATCGTCTCGCACGATGTTATTTGTCTCTAAAATAGTATATGTGCTGGCTCTGGTTAAATGCCCGTCGCATGCAAGACTTCATTAATGTGTTAAGAAATTCTTCATGGTGAGAACGCTACCAGCTCTACGCTAGTATGTCAGACTATTACGACCCTGAATGTCGACTTCTTTCCAACAGCGGCAGTGATGAAGCTCATTGGTTTTTACACCTAATCCCAGTTTGATAGTTAAAATAAAAGAAGTTCAGTCCAAGAGCACCTACAAAAGTTTAGGCGTAGGGTTTCTGTATTGTTTAACATATTATTGTTCTGTCGATTTAGTAAAAAATCATTATGTTTCATAAGTACGTATAGAAAAATTATTTTGTTTAATTTACTACCATAGCAGTAATTACTAACGATATATTATTTTATATTGAATATAACACTATTAAATCAATACTTGCTTAATTATATTTGCAGGAAAAACTGAATTAAAATGTAATGTTAATTGAACAGAAAAGCGCAGCTTCTTGTAATTGAATGTGTTGCGAGTTATCGAATCCATTTCAGTGGAGAATATACATATTATAAATACCTCATTCTATTTATTCAGGGTTAGAAAAATATATAATTCTCTCTAAGATGACAACTGTCTAGATCAATATAGAAAGTAAGACAAACCCAAAATTAAATCCGAATCGTCGAAAAATCTATATAATTATATAATTATTTAATTTTTTTAATTATTAATAATTTTTAACAAAAAAATTTTGCTTTGCCAGTTAGCGCATTATTTAAGAAGGCTACACCAAATCAAGGAAGGATGATAAAGAAGAAGAAGATGTAACTAAATATTGTTCCAAAAAATAATTTCAACAAAACTTAATTTTGTTTATATTCATTGATCACAAAGAAATGGTAATTACAAAGGCAATTTCAGTTTCCAACTGAGTGCGACACCGCAGTTATTTCGTGAATAATTTCTTCAATGTTTTGAATGCAATTTATAGTATAGGATCACGAAGATAATATTTTTTAATCAAAATTGACTTATTAAAACACATAGATATTAAAGCAATATAATCTAAATGAAATATGTTAAATGAAATTGAACATATTATGTATTTCATTAGATCTATTACATTTAGTTCAAAGAAATTTTCGACATTTCTTGAATTCTCAAAACTTTTTGTTACTGTTAGCGTTAAATATGGTTTCTAAAAGTATTTGGAAGTTGGTGCTATGGTAAATTTGATCAGAAGAATACCATCATCACTGTAGATTGTAACTGAGTCCTCGTATCTTCGATTAAGTATAAATAAAAATGCAGATGCCGTGTCACCCCTGAGGACTAAAGTGGAATGTCTCGTTTCCAGTAAAAGGGGTCTCCCGTGCTCAATACTCACCATACAAAAAATAGCAGTATTCTGCTATTTTACGCTGGTATTCTGTGAGAGTGTGGTTCTACCCTAGTGCAACCGATCTACTCGTGCTACAGCCATAATATAGCTGCAGCGTGGCTCTACCACGTCTACTACTAGCTACTTTTTACGTCTGTTTAGATCGGGCCTACACTTTTTTTCTGTTACTGCCGCCAAGCCACAGTGCCAGTGGGTGCAGTGTGGCTTGGCAGCAGTAACAGAAAAAAAAGCAAAAAAAACTAGAATAGTTACAGGTTGTAAGAAATTTCATCTGTTTTCATAAGTGGCAACGTATTCCGTGGCTTTCTTTGTTAGAAGTTGGTTGCAATGATCCATGAGCTACAGGAGTTATTCATCTTCGGGTGAAAAATGTATTAGGTAGTCTAAAATAATAAAAAAGTTGTTTTTTGTATTTTTTTTAAACGTTACCCCCACACTAGGATTTCCTCCTATGTCGTGAAGGCAGTTTACAAACATATATTGCACGAGTACAAACATCCAGACCCGGAACATTTATTTGTAGGCCATACAAATACTTGTTCCGTGCGGGATTCGAACCCACGGCCCCCGGCGCAACAACTCATTGCTAAGGCACTGCGCCACAGAGCCGTCAAGTCTCTTCCTAACCAAAACTATTTGCCAAACTGATTGTAATTTAAACCGTTTGCCTATTTATAGGTTCTTAAAAGACGGAAAAAAACATGCGTGAGTGTCGTGGAACACTCGGTTGGAACGAACGTTCCTTTCGTAGTATATTATTATTGATAAACGTATTATATTATTGAATATTAAATACAAATAAATGAATTACTATATCTGTTTATACATATAACGTGCTGTTGGTTCTATGAACAATAAAGAAAAAAAATACTAGCGTCTATTAAAATGAAGCGTCATTTAAAATAAAATAATATTTCGTTCATGGTTAAATAAGAAAAAGTGCGAGGGAGATGGATATTATCCCATCTGGCTCGCTTATAGCCGCCAAGGCCGTCACGACGTCACGTCAGACGTCATGACGGAAAATCTTATACTTTCTGTCGCCCATTTCCATCCCAGCCGTGACGCTGATTGGACTGTGTCGTGCACAAATGTTTCAACTCCCAAAAACAATTTGATAAATGCAAATTTTCTTGTGGCAGAAGCCCTATTATATCATGTTATATATACCATTTTAAAGAAATTTAATGTAGAATTCGGGTTTACTTGTTATTTTTCAGAAGGCTTTCATGCTTGGAAATAAACTAAAAAAGAACCGTTGGATCAATGTTTTGGTTAGTTTGTGGGTTGGATCATTACTGCACAGCTTTTTCCAATTTTTGATAATAAGCTTAATAAATAAATAAATGATGATTATTATTTTATTATTATCTTACTTCAGCGTAAAATAGTCTGGATTATATTTAAATTAAAGAAACAAAAGTAAGCTATTTTTTTAAATCTTCGATTAAAATTTCTATGAGAGTACCTATTATAAACTTTACGATGCACAGCTCCTGTACTAAATATTGCCGTCTCTATTGTTATAAACCACTGAAGAACTTTACCGTAGCCGCAGTGGAATTAAGCAATTACATGCAAACTTGTGAAAACTTTAAAGGAAAACAGAAAACGCCAAACATCGTTTTACTTCCTTATATTTGCAATTCAATGAGTTTGAAATTACTTTGGGACATTTATTATACTTGAAGTCTGTACTTTTGTATAAATTTTTTATGAAGACGTTGATCTGTATTTAACTTTGACTGCAAAAATCCATTGAATTCATATGGATGATTTTTTTTAAATGTTTGACGTGTAGGGCAGGAAATTAGTATTTTTATTTAAAAAGAAATATTGCTCCAAAATTAGCGTTTGTGTGATACTGAAGGACTAGTATGTAGAAAGATGAAGTGTCTAGCGTCCATGACAAGCTCAGCGCAACATGAAAAAATGTAACATGCCAAATCCAACGCACGCTCCGCAACCCACTCTCCACTCAGCCTCTCCATCAAGCCATAGATCATATGTTTCTTTGACTCATCGCCACTGCTATCTAGACACAAGTCTCCTAATGATTTCTTATATTTACGCGAAGACTTCACATTAAATTAAACTGATTTTTACGGATTTTATCGCATTTAATTTAACTTTTTAATTCCCGACGTTTCGGGTGCTTTACAGCACCCGTGGTCACGAGGGAGACTGAGGTGTTTGATGTCCCGTTTATATAGTTAGCCCGGCTAACTGAAAAAAACTGAAACTAGCTGGGACAAAGTAGTTTCATTTAACACAAGTCTCCTCTTATTTCTCAAAGGGTTTTGAATTTTGGAATCTGTTCACATGTAACACAATATCTCCAATGTTATTTAAGCAGTTGTTATTGATGTGTAACTTCTTTAGGCGCTACTTGAGGGTTACTCGGGTTTTAAAATTTATACTTGACCTTGACGAGAATTAAAGTTAGATTTAATGTTTTTAAAATTATATTATTGTTTAAGTGAATACAAAATATGTGACACTAAACCAAGGCATACATAATCTTGCGAATGGAATACAACGTTAAATTAATTCGAACGAAACAGTCACAGAAAGTGCTCGGCGGAACAATGCTCGGGTTCTAATTGCGGGGTCCCGGGCGGACGAAAATGCAAACC